CCTTGGACAATTCGCTTGCGGCTCTGTCCTGTGCCCCAGCTGTGCAGGGCCTTCCCCAGGCCCACTCCCTCCCTCACTGCTGTGTGGGGGGCAGATCGAGACCCCAGCAGTGAGGGAAGCAGTGGGGCAGGGGGTTGGGGGGAGTGGGGCCCTGGCTGGGCCGGGTGGTGGGACAAGCGGGGCAGGATACACATGCCCCTCAAGCTTCTGCTTCTCTCACCACCCAGCCCAGTGGGGGCCCCATTCCCCCCAGCCCCTTCTCCTGCCTGTGCCCCACTCCGTCCCTCACTGCTGGGGCCTCAGTCTGCCCTGTCCCCCCTTCCCTCACAGACGTACCTGCTGGGGGGTATGCTCCCAAATAATTTTTTCTTTCCCTGCCTCAATCTGCCCCCACCCCTCCGCTGACTGACCTGCTTGGCAGCAAGGGAGGGGGTGGGGTGGGGTGGAACGCAGTAGATCTTGGGTTGCATTTTAATTTAAAAAAACGATCTACTTATAAAGGTTGGAGACCAGTGGTTTAGCGTGCTGGGAATTGCATTCCTTACCTTTACTGTGATGTCAGCTGTAAGAGGCAGGGAAATGCAGAATCCAAGCTTTTTCTTAGCAAAAGTAAAGGTCAGTATTTCTAAATATATAAACTTGAAATTTTATCTAAATATTAATAATTTCAACTTTTATGTTAAAAGATGTGCTGGTGCTAACTCTGGCTAGGAGCTCAGAAGAAATCACTTACAAAGAAGGAAAATATTATTTTGTGAAACTTAATTTTCAGTATATTTCTCTTTATAGGAAAGTGCATGGGCAAGTCTCATTAACAAGCAAGATTTATATTTATTTTAGGATGCCACCCAGGCACACTTGGAAGTATTAGAGAAGGAAGCTGCTGCAAATCCTGAGAAGTTGGCTTCCACACATGAAAACCTGCATTCCCTGAAAGAGTCCTTAGAATCTGAGAGCTGTGAACAAGTAAAAAGAATTCCTGGAGGTGATTTGAAAAATGGTTCCGATTCTGATGCAGGGTAAGTTTTTGTATGGAGTGTAGGGCACACTGAAAATACTGGCTGTCTTGCCATATTTACCTGAATCTAAGACAACTTTGAATTTAAGATGACCCTCAATAATCAGATCCTACACATGGAAAATTTTAGTGGCGGGAGGCAGGTGGAAGGGGAGCAAGTGGGTAGGAGGCAAGCAGCCTGACCCCTGGTTCTTGCACCATCCCCGCTGTTGCCTCCTCCACCCATACCATCTGCACTCCTACCACTTCTACTTTCCTACCTGCCCTTTGCAGCCTGTACCTTCCCCTGCAGCCTCTGCTCCACCTTCTCCCTCGCCACTTACCATTTCTGGTGGCTTTGGCCCCATTCCAGTCCCAGGCTAGCCAGGCAACAGTGGTTGCAGCGGCAGGGGGTTTCAGGCACAATGTCAACCGCATGCAAGCCTATGGGGACCCCCTGTCATGGTCAGAATTGCAGCTGCAGCAGGTGCCTGCTCCCTGCCCCCTGCCTTGTATGGGGGGCAGGAGGCTTTCTTTTTTTTTTCCACATTGAGTGAAGTGGGGGGCATACCTTATCTTGGATTTGTGTAAATACTGTAATATACCATCAATCTTCAATTTTAAACACATAAATTTGTTGTTTCTAAAACAAATATAAAATAGATTTTTAACCAAGAGGAAAGATATTAGACCATTGTAATGCTGGATTCTTGGGAGGGGGGAAGAATTGGAAAGCCAAGATGACTAAAACTAATTTAAAGTATCAGTTTTCAAGTAAGAATTTTTATGAGATGCCCAAAATCTGCCTAATATCCATTTCATAGCAGTTTTTAGCTACACATACTGAGGTATTGCTTTGACCCTCTAAATATGTGTTTTTGACTTTCTGGTAAGGCTTTACATTTGAGAATTGTGTTTTAGTTCCAGTGTAACATGTATGATGCTATAGGACAGAGTGAATCAAACTTCTTTTATGAGTTGCGTATCTTGGTGGGTGGGGGGAAGGAAGTAGGCCGCAATTATCCTAAAGCTGCCCTTGCTTTTTACCAGTGCATCTGGTTCCCTGCACTTTTACTTTGTAATCCAGCCAGTGCTGGTTTAAAACTCTTTCTGATCTGTGATGTGCTAACTTTTCTGATCCTTACTCACCTCTAGCAATAACTCAAATAATTGAAAGCCAGGGATTGTGTGTTTAGGTTACTATACTGGTGGGGCAGCATATGTGCTCTTCTGTAAAATAGCTAATTTTAACACAAAGTTGGGTGCCATCATATGTGGCTCTACTTTACTATGTTTTTGCATATATTTCAGTTCGTGTTTTCTTTGCTCAAACAGAGATTCAGGTTCTCAAAAACAAGAAAGAAAAGATAAGCCAGCACAACTATTAAGGGGTCGATTTCGAAGGCCAAAGCCCAATTTAGGAAGGTCAGCTGGAAAAAAGGAAGTGTCAGGAGCAGATACATCTTTATCTGATGACAACACTGATAAAGAAGAAAAAAGTTTGCAGTCTGACTGTGAATGCAGCTTGCTTCCTGACCTAGATGTAAGTCTCTTTGTAATTAGAGTTGAGCCTTCAGATGTGTGGAACCAAGCACAGCATTGCTTGGTATCTTCAGTTTTTTATTAGGATTTGGTGTGGGTGGGTATGGGTAGGAAGCTTATAAGCAATATTTAATAATAATTGTAATGGATTCACAAGGTGTCCCTCTTTAGACTGATCCTTTCTTCTGCACAGTATATTTTGGCTCTGATGTTTGCTGCCTTATTACATGTCTTCTAGAAAACAGCAAAATGTGATGTCCTGCCTTTAGGAAAGAAAGACCTTGCTGACTCTCGGGAGGTATCTGTAATACCATTAGTTCATCAGTCCCCAAAGAAGCTGTCAGGATCTGAGAGTGATGAACCCAGCAGATCTTTTCCACCTGCAGATAACCAGGAAATTGCTGCACCTATTGCTGTAGGGTAAGGTTGTGGATACTTTTATTTCCCCAAAATAGGGAGTTTTTAAAGGGAATTGTTTTGTCTTTTAATTTGCTTAAGAAAAGCAGGTGATAATACTCCTTTAGTTGTAGAACTTTTTTTATGTAGCGGATATAGACATGCTCTAACTCAGTTTATTTCTGTCCTAAGCTTCAAATTAGTATATGTTAACTTCCAGGTGTCAAAGGTTCTATTTTGATAAGTGATACCTACTTCAATATTTTCATGATAATTGGGCGCGTTTAAACTACAGCATAAACTCAATTTGCTCTTATATCTGAAGGGACCCAGTGGATATCACAAATTTTTTGTAACAGTAAGTGAGCAAACAATAAGGATAATGCAGCTGACTTCTGTAATGGAATCAATCAGTACTGAGATTTCTATAATGCTCTGCTCTTGTAAGTTCTTCTTGAAAAGAAAAGGAACTGCCACTGTTTTTATGCATATTTAATGAGGTTTTTGTGTTCATGCCTGTCTTTCTTCCAGAAACACAGTATCTTATGAAATCTAGATCAATGGATCTATAGGTCCTTATATTAAGTTTTTGTAGTATTTAGGTGTTCCGATATGTGCATTTTCTCCTCCTCAGGCTTTACAACAAAAATATCCCTCAAGAACAAAGTAAACCAAGCTCTCTTCAACCAGCCCAGCTAGTGAGAGGCAGATTTCAGAGGCCCAGGCCAAATATAGGAAGAGGAGTTGGGAGGAAAGAAACACGAGCAATGGAAAAAAATGAATCTGAAGTTGAACAATCAATACAGCATAAACATGAATCTGCCAGTAGCTCACTGACCGCAGTAAGTTTGAGAGGAGTAAATAATTTCAGTAAAATGCCTTGCATCTGCTTAGCTTCTCCAAAACAAGTATATGCAACAGTTAAGCACCAAATAAATTAGTGTTTGGAGGATGTAATATATGGTAGACTCCTTAACATGTTGAGCTATTGCATATGATACCACAACAGGGTCCTTGCTCTGGTTTAACTAATAAGTAAAGGTTTAGGGAAAACCACGCGCATCTGACTTCTTAATTGGGTTGCAACGTGGAGGGAAAGATTATGCACATCCAAGTAATGCTGCTGAAACTTGTATCAGTATTTAAAAATTAGCATAATCCTTTCTGATTTTAAATAAACCCCTTGCTGAAGAAACTGAGTAAGAGTGGCCAGAAAAGGCATCAAAGAGTGTCCTAGTCTCATCCAGAGCTATTTTTATTTTGGAAGCTTTTGTTTTGTGCTACACTGCTACTGCCATATGCTGGCTGGATTTACTTTGTGTGACTTTGCACAAGTAATTTTGGTGCCTCTTCCCTTCGTTTTGAGTATTTGTAAAATGGAGTATAATTAGCTATCCCCTGTGTTTTACCAAAACATAATTCATCTAGCTTTGTAGTTTATATTAAAAACCTCTGAAAGGTGCTACATATAAATACAACTAATATATCTGAAACTTTGGTATCTGGTTGTGTAACCACCCTGGATCTAGGAGAATTAAGTACCTAACTATAGATATTCAGTTTCCTGGAGTTACTTGCTCAGGTGCACAGTATTTCTTTGTTTTCCAAAAAAAAGCTAAGACATTTCTGTAAAAATCCGGTTTGCCACTGAAGAAAATGCAAGCTTTAAAAAAGGATTGCATAGGAAAATTTTGGTACTTGCTAACAGAAAAATGTTTCCTTTCTTTATGACAACTATTGACATGTTTTCTGCCCAAGGTAAAGGGTGAAAATGAAGTCATACGTTCTGAACTTTCAGAAAAGTTGTTGAGTTGTGAAAAATGGACAGAACAAGAGGAATCTCAAGTGCCCAGTATTTCACAAAATGTGTCAGATGAACAAAGCAGGTGAGCCAAGTTTTTGTGGCAAAAGTTTTCAGGGGAAAAAAATGTAGTAACAGATTTGTTACTTTTATACCAGGTGTTTCATGGGGAAAAAATATAAGTAACAAATATGTATACAGGGGTTATTACTTTTCTTCCCATTGGAAAACAATATGAAGAAATGTTTTCATTATGCAGATTTCTCTAGATGAGCCAAGTTACTGGTTACTGTTTCTCTACTGCTGTCTTGAATGGGTTTTGCCAACAGGTGGCAGGGTTTTTCCAAGTATATACTGTGTATTTACGTGAATCCAAGATGACCTCAAATTCAAGACGACGCCCTAATAATTAGATTCTGCATGTGGAAATATTTCTAAATTTGTTATAATTTTCTGTGTGTAGAATTTAATTGTCGGAGGGGTGGTCTTAAATTTGCCTTCCTCCCCACTTCCTGGCCTTTTGCCACTGCTCTTCCCTGCTGTAGTGATGAGAAAGGGGAGGGGGCAGATGGCAGGGGTCGAATCAAGTGCCTTGACTCCTGCCATCTGTGGTCCTGGCACTACCTCCTTCTCCTCCCCTCTTCCCAGTCTACCCTCTGGCATTTCCCCACTGCAGTACCTACACACTGTGGCACCTCTCCCACTGCCCTTTTGCCCTTAAACTCTTGGGGCTTTCCTGCTCTTAAGAGCAAATGTAAAGATTGCCCTGATGCCCTTTAAACCCCAGAAAATATTAATGCAATCCTGTTCTTGATTTTTTTTTTTTTTTTTTTTACAAATACATGGATAGAAGCATCTCCAGACCCAATGCCAAGATTGAAGAACTTTAGTTCAAGAAATTGGGAATCTCCAAAGCCAGCTCTTTGAAATCTTTTCACCCTGATACTATTTAACATTCAAATGACATTAACTGGAGTGGGCGTAGGTGGGAGAAACTGCAGAGAAATAGTAGAAAAATTTGGTACAAGACTCTGCTTGTTTGTTGAAGAGGTTCTTCAAGTGTTAGAAACTTTAAATAAGAAAAGGCCACTTTCTTACCATGACTCGTAATTCACAGCATGAAATGATTTGTGACCTTCCTGTATAAATAGTGATTTTGAAAAACTAAATAGCAGTGACTGCAGTAACATTTTTTCACTAAACATAGTAATGTGACATTATTTTTTTGTTTTGGATACTTAGTGTTAAAAAATCCAGTTCTCTAGAAAATAAACCAGGTGCCATCAGACCAGCACAGCTTATGAGGAATTGGTTCCAGGGGACTAGACCAAGCATAAGAAGGCTGTCTAGCAAGAAAGGAGAACTATCAGCGGAAAAAAATACTGCTCCAGTTGAGAGAGAAGCAGGACAAATGGAAATGAGTCTTCTGGAACATGAGGATTGTAGTGTTAGTTTTTCTACCAAAGTGAGGATTTTATTCACATTTCTATTTTTATGCTTGTTAATAGATCTTTGCAAATACAACTTTAATGAAGAGGCTTAGTAGTTGGTTAAGTGGTCATATGGGCTAGGGACAGACATTACACACAAACAGGTTTAAATGATCAGAAGCCAGTTTAAACGTGTAACAGAACAGGTGTTCGGTGCACATAAACCACTTTGAAAATGACTGAAACCAGTTTGAGATAAATCTGGCTGAATGTAGTATCAGACTGAACTGATTTGCATCAAACCAGTTTATGCAATGTCTGTCCCAGACCCCTTCCTGGCTTTACAACCCTGGGCGGGGCTCTGCTGTCTGCTCCAGCCCAGCAGGTCTTCTGCCCTTCTGCTCCCTGGCTGGAGCTCTGGCTGAGACTGCAGGTACAGTGCATCTGTCTGGCTTCCTCCTGCTTCAACCTCCCCCCACCGCTCCCTGCTCAAGCAGGGATTCCCCCTTCCCTTTGCCTTACACAGACACCTCAGTATTAGCTAGCATACCACATGCTGGCTACGATCTGTGCTGTGAGAGACAGGACAAAGGCAGACAGACAGCACAGTGACGTAGGGCTCTTTGGAGCTAATCAGCAAGTAGCTGGTAATGTCTCTCTGTTCCTTCCTTGGAACAAGTTGTTTAAGAAGAGCTTGAACTAGTGAGAGAGACTTTTGTTTTGCTGATGGGGTGATAAATGTTGTGTAAACCCCTACTGGCTCCCTTGCTGACCAGCAAGTGGGGGAGGGAACCCCTCCCTAATCAGAGCATCCTGCCAGGGCCTGGCCATGCCCCACTCAGCTCAGCACTCTAGAAGGGAAAGGAGGGCTGCTCTAGCACCCTCTCCCCTCCCCTGGCATCTGGCCTGTGCCACTGCAGGCATGTGCCTGCATTTCTTCAGTCCAAAGGGGATGGCTATGAGGTATCTTACGAACTGATTCTGCCTAGGCAGGTTGGAGTAACCTGCAAAAATTGAATCAGTTCAGGCTCAGACTTTTTGAGTGTCTGTCCCTAGCCATGAAGAACAAATTAAAACATATTTTTATATCTTTGTGATGTGACTTTAATATTAGGCTCTTAAGTACCATGTTAGTGAGCACTGTAGGAAGACTTGGATTTTTGTTAGGAACAATTCTATGATCTGCTTGTTTATTCAATTATATAAAAATTCAGTGTTGTGAGTTGTTACTTTTGTGACCTTGGCACTTAACATATATGTGTACATAAGCATGCTTCAGGCCAGTCATTGTCATGTTTTTCCAGTGACCTATTGAAGCTGGTCACAAAAGGACGTATTGAATTCTTTCCTTTTCCTACTGGAAAAGGTGCTATTTCGTAACAATGAGCAGCAGTGACAGGTCCCATGTATGACTTGAATCCTTTGAAAGTAGTTTTATGATTCAGAGATCAGTCAAAATCAGATTTTGATGATTTGTGTGTCTTTAGTACATTTTTATGCTAATATTGCTTTTCTAAAATAAAGGCTGAAGTGGAGACACCGACTGTCCTGGAGGATTTGTCCAAAAAAGATGGTCCGGATTGCAGTGGCATCACTTCTCCAAAAAAATTTATTCGATCAGAAGAACTTTTTTCCCCTGAGAAATCATTGAAATGCAATAGTCAGAGAAATGAAGTGGGCTTTGTGTCAACAGAAGTTGTGGAAAGCCTTCCAGATAATTCTGAAGGGTAATGGTAACTCTTACATTTAAAAGGGCTTCTAAAACTCTCTAAATATTAATCCAATTATTTTTCTGTAGTTTGCCTTTTACAAGACTGATATTAAGTGCAAGCAGTAAAATATAACTGTGGCAAGGATCACTAGGTGGCACCACTAATATAGACATAAATATCTTTTTCTTTACACTAAAGTGTATTTTTGATCTTGGAGCAAGATACCTCTTGCTTTTTGCTGTCCCTTGAGAGGGACTCGACAAACAGCAAGGAAATCTGCTGTGTACCTGAATCTTACTAGCTATGACATGCTTGAAGTAGTATTTTAGGTCTCTGTATGGTAGGTACAAATCTCAACTTCCGAAGTGGAAAAAGTCACTATAAAAATATACCTAATTTACTTACCTTCATGATAAATGCTGGCCTGCAGGTCTGACTTATTTTGCTAATTTGGCAGGGAACATTTGTATACGTGTAACGTGGCAGACAAAGTAGAGGGTGCTTGGGAGGGTTGGCTATGTGGGGAGTGCCCTATGCATCCACCTATTCCTGTGGGTGGTATGTGATTATAACTTTAGATAGGGGGGGCTTGTTTTGGTTATGGTGATCTTTTCCGACCCACTTCTGAGCCCTGATGATACTTGGAACATCTTTGGTGCTGTGTGCTGTGGCCATGCCCCATGCTAGTCAAGACAGGTAGCAACCTTTATTTACTGAGGGCTAGATGAATTTTTCCCATTGGAATCCTGGGCTTTTAGAGTCCCCAGCATGAGATTTGTGGAGCAGAGATGAGGATTTTGCCCCAAGGATGCAAAGAGGTTTTTTTCTAGAAATCACTTAAAATGTATTATAACAATTTCTGATTATGCTGACTCTAAAAGTTATCAGAGAAATGAGTTTTTAAACCATTTCTTTAAAAAAAATAGTGGAAATTCTAACAAGATCATTTGGCATGCTAAGGAGTATTAACATAATCTGGATCCAGACAGTTATACCAGGAACAAGGTATTAATAGTGAATACATACCCCTGAGAGATTAGACTAAGATGCAGTTTCAGTAAAACAAGATATCCTGGTTCCAAGCTTCTAGGGGAAGATGGGACAAAGGAGCTGAAATAATAAATCCTTTAAAAAATACTTTAGCCCCATTTTCCATTCTCTCTTGTTTCTTCTTTTTTGTTTTGTTTCATTTAGTTTTGGTTTTTTGCTATTCACATTCCACATCCTCTTGGAAAAGCTTGGCATGGTGCCAGAAATCTCCCTATCCACACAACCTTTTATTTTTTTATTTGTTACGGTATGTAGCCAGTATGGATGATGGCAGCCTAATGGTATTTATATTTGTAGATATTGGTTGTTCTTTACAAGGAAGGGGTAAGTACTGTTATCCTCTTAGTGCAGAAAGGACAACTGAGATTCACAGAACTAGTGTTTTGCCCAAAAGCAAACTGCAGGCAGAGCTGGGAATTAAACACAAGTCTGTCTTCCAGTCCATGTTGCCTTTTCTTAAACTTTAAGTATACAGGAATGTAATCCAGGGATATTTTTATTCGTGCTGATACTGGTCAGCCTGACAAAACTAAAAGTCTCTTGAAAGCACTACAGTGCTTGAGAGAGCCATGTTAAATGATCAGTCATGTAGCCTATAATGCTAGGCTCCCTGTTTTTGTTTTTATTTTTGTTTTTGTTCACTATGACCAAATCTTGATCTAGTTAATCAAAATTCACATGCATCATACTTTAAATATAGGTACTTTAATTACCATTAACCTGTTCATTTTCCCAAGATGAGACCTTTCTCAAGTAAGCTTTATTTGTATATTCATCTGGCTGCCTCTTATGTTCCTTCTAGTTGCTGTCATGTTTCAGACTTTCAAACCATTGGATCTATTTTATGGGAGAGATCCAGGCTCTTGGTAATTAATACCAAAAAACCAAACTGCCCCTTCTTTCTATCCCGAGCGAAGTAGATGATGATAATAGGACAAAACAGCTTGTCATCTATTTTCTACCCCCTCCCCCACCAAAAGAAAATGAAAGATTAATGAATTTAAGTTTATTTTAATGTTGAGTACTCCATGATTCCCACAGTGGCTGGCCCTTACCTCCCTCAGCCCCAAAATACTCACCATACCCTGAAAGGATGGTAAAATCCCTATCCAGCCATAAACAAGCTGAAAACATGTAGTCTTCTCTTCTCTCGTTTTCATTCATAATGAGTGGATTAAAAATTAAAGTATGGATGAACCTTTTATGTAAGGCTTTCTTATTTTCTGGTTCACTCTGGGTAGGGTTTACAAGTATTTATATCAATAAGGGTTTTAGAATTGGCTGAAGCGCAAGATGTATTCTCAATATTTTCTTAGGTTGAGTGATAAATTTACTTCTGAAGAAGAAAGCAAGCCAAGTAAGAGAGAACCTTCACAGTTACGGAGAGGCCATCTACAGAGGCCTAAGCCAAATCTAGTGAAAAAAAGTTGGAGAGAAGTGCCTGATGAGGGAGGAAGCACAATTGAGGATAAGTGTGATGCTGGAAATGCAGATGAGGATCTCATTCTGTGTGGGAGTAGCAAATCAGAAAAATTAAACGTATTAGTGGTAAGTACTGAAAATTTGGAATTGGAGCAGCTTATGTCCCCTTAACTTATCTGTTTTTTTGCAGAAATCCAGTCCATGGATAGGAAAAGTTAAATTATCTCTTTGAATCTTTGCCAGTGTCAAACATGTGCAAAGCTTACATTTTTCTGAACTGTTTACAAATAACTTATTTCCTTTTTTATAATTTTACTGCATGCATTACTTAATGTCTTTTATTTGCACAAATATACCCAGCTTTACCAGCCTGTTTGAATAATGTTTTGCAGACACTGAAGAGCATGTATTTT